TTCGTCATAAAAATATGCCAAAAACCCGTTTCAGTAATATTTTTTAGTTCTTAGGCATGCCACATGTGTGTGATCGTTTAGTTATTATAAAAATTTGAAATTAATGATGACCGTCGTATATCTAAATGCTAAAATGTCCAATTTCGCCAAAATCGATAATCAAGAATTGTTATAAAAATTTCGGATATAAATCATAATGATCTTTGCAAATAATAGTGATTGGTTGAGGCTTAGAGTTTCGGGCAAGTGGAAACGTTAACAAAAGCTAAAATATCTTTAACGCAGCAACGGTAGCTTAAAGAGACCAAACGTGTCGCTATGACGCCTCTACTTATAACACTTGCCGAGAACCATCGTGCTCGCATGCATGGAGAACATCCTTTGAGTTGCTGGTCATATAAAAAAATAAAAATAGAAAAAGAAATGGGTATCTAAAATGTAACTGGTTAGGTTGGTATTGAAGATGGGTCAAGTCAGTCGAAGGACCCACCAACACTACCACATAAAGTAACAATACCTCTTTTTTCAAAAAAAGTACAAAATTGATTTTTTTGCTCATTTCTCGTACACTATAGTAGATAAACCTAAAAAAAATTTGGGCGTTACTGCAGTACCTATAAAATATGGAAAGAATTGACCACGTCTACTCAATATTACGGTGTAGTAAAATATAACTTTTTTTTTTAATACCTTGATACTGCGCAGAAACAAGCTTCGAAAACCTTATAAGAAAATATAAAATCCTTGGCTTGTTTCAAATTCGAAATGCACCTAAGCATGTCCATCCGTTCATCTGTTCGTCTGCCTAACTGCATAGCATCTGTAGTAAACATTCCCCTGTCAGTGAAAATGGAGATATCACCTACAAATTTGCAAAAAAAATTGGAACTGACCTGAGTGTTTTATATATTACAGGGCACTAGAGCTTAGTTCTTTTACTTTTTTTGTTTCTTTTAGGATAACGGTGATGGGTATAAAGGATTCGGCCAAATGTTAAGATTATATAGTAAAAAGCTGGTCCTTAATAGTAACTTTATATAAAATTTAATTGTAAAATTTGTGGCTGCTTAGATTTATTTTTTAAGCTGCGCTATACAAAGGGTACCGCAAGACATTTGATAAGAAAATTAAATTTGCCACCTTTGGGCCAGGTCGTTTAATATTTTGGCCCCTGCAGTCATTTAAGGACTTCCCAGGAAGAGTAGGCCTTTTCATAAGAGGTAAAGATAATTTTTGCTACTTTATCATAAAAATAAATCAAACATTATGTTAGGCGACGTATTGTATACGATATTTTATGAGTGTGCGACTACAATAAACATATATATATTTTCTTTCGTAATCCTTTGTACTTGATATAGTAGTACACGGTGGATAACAGTAAATTCGGTTTTAACTAAATATGTTTTCTTTAGCGGTTTTTCTCAAATTTCATCATCTTCAGTCGAATATTGGCGAGGAGAGGTTTGCATCAAGACAACAAATCAATATTTCAATAAAATTTTGTACAATTTTATTAATTTATTGATTGATTTTTATATTAAAATTAAGTAGAACAACTTTGAAATTTTTGTAGTTATTCATGTAATTATTATTATATTATTATTATTATATACGAAATATGAAGAGGTCGAATTTAATTAATATAACTACAAATTCAATTTTCTCAATTTTTGTATATAAATAAAGAGATCGTTTAAGAAATACTTATGTAATTTATAAGGCGTTTGCTTATGTCGATTGACTGATATTTTTTTTTTTTTTTTTTGTTTGTTGTTATTTTTTAAATTCATTCGTTTAATAAGTTTTTAATTAAATTGTAGTAAATTATGCCTCTTTTTTTATAATTAATGAAGGCTTTTAATGTTTAAAAAAATATCAAAGTTTAATTATATAAACAAGAAATTAAATACCGGTTTCTTTTTTTAAATTTATAAATTAATTATTAATTGACATGATGCTCTATAAGGCATGCGGGAAGAGACGCCGTTGGATGTACCAGTTAATCGACTTTAACTAATCCAGCTAAATTGACACTAATTCGTCAGCATTCGAGGAATCGATAATAAATTCGATTCTCGATGGTTAAGATTGTTGAAAATTATATTAGGAGCTGGTGTTGTGGTGATGGATACGTTCCTAGTGCACATGATATAAATGCTTTTACGTATTGTATAATAATAATTGTATTGAAAAACTTTCAATTCTTCATATTTCGAATTTGGACGTACATATAGGACACGAACTCAAACTATTCACTTATTTTCTTCTTACCAGAAATGTTCTGCCTTAATATCAGTTTTTACAAGAAAATTACGGGTGAGTAATACTATTTCACCTTTTACTTCAAGTAAAAATTAAAAGCAAGTGAGGATCGGGCAAGGCCGACACCGCTTCCCCTAGTACATTTATTCACTCGTTTTGATAATAATATAAAAGTTACATATTATTTTCATGCAACTGCATGCTATTCATGAAAGCCCGCATATTGGAGCAATCCTTACATGCGGTGGCATCCAAAATATATATCTATATGGTTGAAAGATTAGGTTGATTTCTGTTAATTTTTCCAATCAAATATTAAAAATTATATCATTTTATTATATAAAATTTTAGTTTTCGTAGGAGCTGTTCAAAATATTAATCCAGACGGACCAAATGGTCGAAAAAGTGGACCGACCCGAAATATTTTAAGTAGCGGTTACATACATCCGTACAAACTTAACAAGTTTTGTAGGGTATAAACAACTAAAACAGCTAAAAGCACACTATATTCGCTTTAGCAAGATTCTCGATCTCTACCTGATCAACCACTATATTGTTAGTTTTAGAATTAATTAAGCGAATATTTGTACACAAATGATTAGATTAATTTACGTGTTGTGTTGTTAGTTGCAGTTTTTCTTTTATTCATTTCAAGCGTATTTGTAGTTTCAATATTTCAATATTCAACACTGAATTTTTCGATCATTCTCGAAAATAACTTTTCGTAGTAAGCTTTAGATCAATATATCTGCTGTAGGCTTTAAGTAAAGTCTAAATAGGCAAATCTATGCGTACTCTCTATAATACATATTTGCAGACCACATATACACAAAACTATGCATAAAAATCGTACGCTTTGTATTGCATTTTGGTTTTAATTTAATTTTCGGAGCGATTGTAGTCCCATACAAACTTCATAATTAAATCATTTGTAAGAATGGTTTGACAATCATACAAAAACGTGTAAGAAATGTGTTAAACAATAATATATGATGCAACAATAATAATAATGATAGGAAGCCGATAATAATATTAATAGCATCAGCAACAATTTTACTTACACTTAACAAGTGCCACAATTGCAAGTTTTACATTGTTTAAGAATGTTGGAAAATGCTGCCATAGCATAATTTCTATTTTTAGTCTTTTTTTATGCAAAAATAGAATAAAAAGAAAAGGAAAAACAAATAAGAAAAAAGGAAAACACATTAAGCGAACAGAAATAAAATGTAAAATGAAGATAGGAAAAAAAATTGCGTTCGCTTGGCGATCTAGTACTATATTGAGTGGGTTGATCAATTACGTCTTTGGTCTACCTCTGTCCCGATCGTGGTAATTGAGCCAAATTTCTAATAATGCGGTCACATACCTAGATATATGCGTTGAAGATCTTCGAAAGTGTGCATATTTCTTCCCAGTGAAAGCTTTACTAATTTCTGATAGTCCGTCCATTACTTTGTCGTTTGTTATTGGGTAGCCAACGGCCGCAAAAACTATTTGAGAGTTAGACAAACGTTCACTACAAAAGCAGGCAACGAACACGGCGAACACGAATCAACACATTGTTTTGCGCTAGTGTTCCGAATCTCATCTATAATTTCCGTCGAAAAGAGTTTTTCATTTTACTTCTTATAATGTTGACTGCCGACAAATCGACCAACATAACTCCTAGTTTTAGTCTGCTGAATAACAAATGCACCTCTGGTGTTATCTGTTGTATATTTTCGAAGAAAAGGAAAGATAAATGTAGAATTCTTCTTCTTTGTCTATTTTACGCGGAACTTTGATGTAATTTCAAAATTTGTTTAGAATCTTTTGAACGCGTTTGCAATTAAATAATTGTGCAAGTATAAATATTGAACTTTCATTCTAATGTTTGCAGCGCTGAGGACTTAAATGGACAGATAAACGAATGTGACCCAAAATTTTATATAATTGCATCGATATATTACTTGATGGAGTTGACAGAGTCAATGCACTGCAAATAGAATAACAAAAACTAGTATACTCTTCTCCCCTCAGTGTTGAAATGTGTACAAAAAGAAGGTAAATTATCAAACCTGAGAATTGAGGTCTACCAATTTTCGAAACTTACATGTGTTTACCGTTGAGCTATAAGATAATAATATATCACTGTTTTTCGCGTTGGTGCCGTCCACCAGATTGCAGTTGATATACGAAAAGCACTAAACTATTAATAGCTTTGCATGCTCTGTGCTATCATAAATAAAACAGTAACAACAACTGCAATGGCAATAACACTTTATACCGGTTTTCAATCAAATCGTACAACTGGGTGATTTTCAATTTTCCAACCAACCAAAAAAACAAAAAAGAAATATAAAACGAACTGTAGTTTAAAGCGCTAGACCAGACCACCTCTAAATGGTCATTTATGCCACTTTTCCTTTAGAAAATTTTGTTACCAGGCAGGTTATTAGGAATAATTATTATTAAAATTTTAGTTAGACGAACATACACAAACATACACACGCACGCGCGTGCAACAACCCACTGTCAGCCTGCTCTATGGCAGACATTAGGTAGGCTTTAAGTATTTCCTACATTTTTCTTTAGCGATTTGGTTCAACGAAAGTGAAATATCTGGGCTTTAAAAGACAAATCTTTTGTTGTTGTTTTTCCTTTCATAACATATAAGACATTTTTCTGCTTTTTTTCCTTTTCTTGTAAGCATTTCCTATTATTTCTTATTATTTATCATCGTTATCGCTTACCTTTTTCTGTATCTCATTCTAAAGGTCTTCTCAGGCTTTAAAGTCATTTAAATATTTGAAAACAAAAAAAAAAATGAACAAAGTTTACTTTTTACTGATTTCCAAAATTGTATCACTAGTGGTGTTTTCTTTTCTTAATTCTTAACAAGTTTTATTCTTAGAATCCCTCTTTTTCTCTCGAATATCGTCTTTGAGTTACAAAAAAGAGTTAAAACTGATTCACAAAAAAAAAAAAAAAAAAAAACCAAAGAAAACAAAAAACTAAACAAAAACTTTCTTTAAGCGCACTTTTTTTCTACAAACATAACACTCTGTGTGTTATTGTTTCGCTGCTTATCTGGCTACTACGTGCCGTTTTTCTTAAGTTTCTTTTTTTCACATCTATTAAGCCGGCTTTAAACTTGAAACTAATTCCTAAACCGTCAAGCATTTGTTAAAATCAAATAAAAGAAAAAAAGCTAATGATAAGTAAACACAAAATTTTGTGTTCTAAGATTCTTTGATATTAAGCTTAAGACGTCTGTTTCTTCAAACGTGCGCGTTTGAACTGAATGGTATGGCTTAAAACTCGCTTAGTTTTAGTTAAATCTTTATTATTCATTACGTACAACGTCTTCGTCTTTCAACCATTCACTCTATAGCTGCACACACACACACACTCATTGGCATTTCGTATATCTTTTGGCATTGTACCCACTCTCTAAAAAGTCTTTTCGCTTTGCTTTTCTACGTGTATATAGCCTCTATAGCGTTTTAGGCGAATGCTCTTATTTCTAAACCGGCAACAAACAGGGTCTTAAGCATGTGAACCTTTACAATAGAGTGAGAACGTCGTTGTTACCATCATCGTCAGTTGCGATTAACTTGTTTGGACATGATGAGTCGCTCACTGTTTAATTCTCATCGCTCTTGTCTCTCTTATTTTAGTTGGTTGTTACGTATAAAAAGCGCTTTTCTTAAATAAATCTGTAGTTTTTTGATAATGCATTGATTGTAAGGGCGGTAATCAACCAGCAAAAGAAACAGAAGAACATTTTATACTGTTTTGTACTGCTTCAGAAAAGCCACGACATACGCTTATATAAGGTTTTTTGTTTTTTAAGCAGGCGATAACGTTTTAAGTCTAAGCCAGTATAGAATTTGCACACATTAAAACCCACATCGGTAGTTCCGGAACTGCCGCTATGTATTACGCCAAGAAAACTGTCTGGGCCTTACTTCATTTTATCGCTAACCTGCTGCTTTCTGACCCATCTTTTGACATCACATATGAGCTCATGTGTCCAGCGCGCCTGTGTAGACTCGTAATATTTACTCTGCTATATGCACATACCTTTTTCCGTCACACACATATTTTCTTCAGGCGTGAGCCTTCTCGCAAGCTGTCTTCTTACATGATATAGTTTTGTCAATAATTTTGACATAGTGTGACCTGTGCAAGCTGTGCCCCATTGCTGGCGCCGTGCACATTACGGCTGCTAGTACCAACTACTTCCTTTGGCTTGCCCCCTGATGTTTGTCATTACGCGGCAAATGCTCGGCCAGTTTGACCAATCTAGCATCCAGTACCACCCATATTTTATTGTCGGCGTGGTACAGATTTTATAGCCGTCTGTATTTAGTACGGCCGCATCGCTTCTTTTTCTGCTAGTTACTAAAATAGCTTTAGTCTTCTGCGGAACTAAAGACATTTTCTTACTCGTAAGCCATGTCTTAGTAGCTCTTCATACAGTATAGTATGAGAACTGGCCCAAGTATAGAGTCTTGAGGAACGCGAGCCGTTACGTTGTATATTTTAATGCCTATTTCCATTTTACAGACCAGTATCCTATCAGATAGGTAGCTCCTCATTATGCGCATCAGATTTTGCAGCACCTGTTTGACGTCGACAGTTAACCGTTCTCTTCGGAAACTGATTATTCGAGATTCAGCTCATTCGCTCGATATGATATGGTATATATCAATCATATATAATTGGCTATACGGCTGGCTTCTTTGATTTCGGTTACAACACTAACTTTTGCTTTTTTCATGTCATCGGGAATGGATAATCATTATAAACTTCCAGAAATGGTTGGACATATCGCGCTATGGCTAGCTTTAGGACGTCGTTTAGAAAGCCATACGGGCGTGGTGCTGTTTCCCAATTCCCGCACTGCATCATTTAGTTCCGTAACAGCGACGTCTGCGCAAGAGTAAGTTGCGTCATATTTGCGCGTTTCACGGGCAGTATGCTCACGAGAAAAGCTTTCTAAAATTTTCCCATGAAGTTGGAGAGGTTGACACTTCTAATCTCTTTTACTTTAGCTTAACCATTAAGGCTTTGTATGCATCACTCCATAAGTTGGATACCCCGTCTTCACATAGCTGTTTAAAGCACTTATTTTTCCGTTTTTGTTGCTGATTTTAAGGCTTTGCGCGTACTCTTTATAGCTGTCGTAGTTGAGTTTAGTCCAACTCCGCTGTAGTTTACGCTTCATTTAAGACATTTCCACCTTTTCGTTGCAATATCTACATTCCACCAGTATACAGGTTTCCATTTTGGCCAGTTGGTCATCCGAGCCATAGATGCGTCACAGGTTATAGACACATGTCCCACTAGCTTTTTGGATTCGTATTCTGTAGTTAAATTCAAGATATTTAAAAGATGTTAAGCGTGCTGTCATTTCACGCGCTCCGCAATTCATCCATCCAATTTTATTCTTGCTAATATCCTTTATAGCATTCATGTTTATTCCATACTTCGGTGATGCAGAGTTTATAGCTGGTCTGTCACCTCATGCAATTCCTTCACAACGACATTGGATTTCCTTCATGAAATCTTTTCAGTTCCTACATGATTTTTAATTTGAACCAACTCGCCGTCTAGCATAGTCCGGGTTTTATTATTCCTTACATTTTTCAATATATCGCTACAGGACATTTCTCCGTCTTCCCAATCAAGATGGCTTCAGGCTTCACCGGTTTCGGTTTTAGTTCATTTTTGCGGCCTTTTATTATTTCATGCTGGTATTTGACTTGTTCCTTTAGAACATTTTTTGCAGCTATTTGTTTCTGTTTTGTTTTTAGTTTTTTTCGCCGGAGTGGCATTAGCTGGACGTTCGTCTCTCTGCCTTTTATTAGCCCTTCCTTTTTTTTTGGTATTATGTCAGCATTCTTCCATCTTTGCTCATATTTCCGGGTCTTGATTGCGCTACCTCTCGCGCCGCTTTTTTATACAGCACAGTCAGCAGACCCACCAAATCTCTCATCGGCTGGTGAATAGTGCGCCTGGAAAAGATTATCTGTAAATTTTATCCTGCAGCCCCGCTAGCTTGCTGAATATGTCCGCATATTTCTTCACCGTACATTATCTTGTAGCATTGGTGGTGACCAATGACTTCTCTCCTGGGTCCGCTTTACGGCTAGCAAATGGCGTACTTGGGGTACGAGTACTTCTTCTGAACGGGCTACCTTGAGATATCGAGCTTTCTCGTATGTTAGCCTGTTTTAGCCGATATCATTCTTTAGTTACTGCATTATTTATTGCTGCTATTGCTTTGTTGCATATAGATTTGTATATTGTGTATATATTTGTTTTTCTTACACGTTATATTGAATGTGTTACCAGTGGCGCCCTCACCTATGCCACACTTTTAAATTTCTGAACACGTTTAGATTTTCTTTAAGGAAAGGGGGAGTGCGGCCTCGCTAAACTGCGATAACAGAAAGCACCTGATCGGGGATGCTTTTTCCGTTGGCAAGAGTGTCGCAACGTGTTTCAGTTCTGGTTTCGCTCTTTTCTTTTTTTCCTTATTGAACATTCCGACGGATTAAAGAAAGAGGAAACAAAGGCAATCGTCTCGTGGCATAGGTATAATTTCTTATTTCTTCCCTTGTTTAAGACAATAGTACGTTGTGCGTAGATACCTTTTGGACGAATCTTAGCCCTGAACAGGATTATCTCGTCCGACTATTTTACTCTGATTCTGATAGAAACTTTGCTTCATTTAATAGAACATTATGAGATGACCATACTAATGTTTTTTGCAAAAACTATGGAATTTAATTAAAATTATATTTGCTCTTTTAAGAAATTTTGAAACAGAATGTTTTTAACTGTATCACTCAAGAGCAAGGGGTGAAAAAAGCATCAGAGACCCGACAAGCTGGTAAACGCTCTCCCGTCAGCGAATACTCTTCCGTCGCCTACAAGAAAGTTTGCAAAAGAATTTGAAATTGACCTATAATTTTTAAAAAACATATCTACACCGCCTACATAACAAAAAGTTTTATTTTGACAATAGAAAAGATCAGCCGCTCCTTCCTCACATCATAGAGTATGAAAATTTAGTTTTATTTTTTTTTTTTTTTTGTTTTATTTTAAGATACTGGGTATAAAACATTCGGTACGAACGAATATAACTTTCTTTTTCTGTTTTTATTGATTGCTTTAATTGTGCCCGTACGTGGCTTTGGTCGTTTGCGTATTCCCGACTTCTAAACATGGCAATTAAAATCTGAAATTCGACATATACATTCAAGTTAAAAACGGGATGAGACATTCCGTATACGCAAGAAAAGTGTGAAAGAAATAGCGGTAAATACTTCCATAGGTAATTGGTATATTTAGATGCCTAAATATGTTATCTATTAGATTTCAATCCATCTGTTGATATGCCTACAACTAAAAAAAATTTCAGTGATAATATTTCTTTATGGTTAGACGGTGCAAGTAATAAAGTTTCGCCTAAAGGGTTGCTAATACTTTCAACTACGTACCTCCACAATAGTGATTCCTAAAATTCATCGATAACATTTTTATAAGCTCGTTATGTTAAGGCACTTTAACAGCTACAAGTTGCGCGAATGCTGGATGATATCTTTTGCAGATCCTTTTTATTTAATGTAATTGTATTTCATTCGCTGTTTTAACAGTTTTGTCATTAATTAGAGTTATTCTTATCAAATTGACGCTCTAATTTCTTCGTATCTATACACAAAAATTATAAAACCATTTTTCCATTTTCCGATCGGATAATTGAATGGTTTTAAAGCAAATTCGAATTTTCTTATGGGCTACAAGCAGCAGGAAAGAGAAAAACAGGAGTGTTGGTTATTGGATGCCCTTCTTAGAAATTAAATACTTCTTTGACTAATATGTGGCCATAAATCGCCATGACTTACAAACTGAAGCCGAACAGCCATACTTATATAGATTTAGCCCCAGCATCGTAAGTGCTACTGCTGACCGAGTATAGACATTGATCATTTCTTAACCTCCACGTAAGGCAAAGTCTATCTAACGCCTCAATATTTTATGCACCCACAAAACTTCTCCAAGGGAGGCTTCCACCTATCAGAGAGATAATAAAAGGTTGAAGGGAAAACCTCGTTACACTCTTGACGCTTTCAGTACCATTGAATTTTTCTAAAAAGTGGGAAAATATCTACATTTTATACAGTATGTAAATAATTTTGTGTGAGTTAACAATTTCAGATTTATGCTCGTTG